CCCCAAAACCCCAAAACCCCAAAACCCCAAAACCCCTTTAAATTTAAAATGGCTGAAATATCTTCTTACACTATGAATTCTCTTCTCTAAAATGATAAGCTATTTTAACTAATCATTATATTTTTTTTGGGCATTATCATTCTGATTCTGATCACCATCTTCATCGCCAGTAGCTGCTTCTTCTTTATTATATTGATGGCCTGCTTTGCTATCATTACCTGAATCATCTTCTGAAGAATCTTCTGAGTCATCATACTTAGTCTCCTCTTTAGGTAAAACTCTTGGACGCTTAGTAGAAGACTTAGTGCTATCTTTAACTTTGCCTTTTGTAGATGTATCATGAATACTATTTTTGTCCTTGCTCTTAGACTTGTCATCATTTGAGTTTTTCCCTAAAATATTTTCTTCTTTTATTGAGGGATTATTTTGATCCTTGTTATCGCTGATTTTATCATCATTTGAAGAATTAATGCCTTGTGGATTTTGAACAGCTTCAGAATCCGCAAATGATTCTGTTTGAGCTTTTTCCTGCTCTACTTTTTCTTCTCAATTTTCTCCTTGGGCAAGCATAGAGAGACAATCACCGAATTTATCGATGGCATAGTTCTCAGTCAGATTCTTCGCAAGTGTCTCACAAAAGCTGATATCATATTCTGTGTCAGAGTCCGGAGATTGCTTTATGCTTCACCAGTTCTCCTTTTTATAAAACTCGATGTGGTCTTCCGATTGAGCTGTCTTCAGTTTGATCCTGACACCCAGGTCCAAAGTGGTTCCCAAGTTCTTCGGACTTGCAGTCAAGAACCCAAGAGTGGAATGCTTGGCGTATCCCATCTTCTCGAACTTCGATAGAATCTTGATCAGAGTGGTCAGGCTCTTGCTGAAGTTGCCGTCTTCTCCGATGGCGAACACCTGCACATGGTCTTCGAAGTTGACGAGAATCACGAAGGCTTTGTTGTCATCGATGAACACACCTCTGCCGTTGGGCCAGTCTTCGTTGATCCCAGCATTACTGTGGCTAGTCTGCTTTGAGATATCAATGCCCACAGAGTTCAGCCAGTTGGATGTTTTTTCATCGATCTTTGCAAGTTGATGGTAGTGGTCGTACACTTCGCCTAATGTTTCAACAATCTTTTTCTCAACTTGGACCTTGATTTGGGTGCTCATCATTGGAGTGAAGGGGTAGTCTTTAAAGTTCCTTCTGGCTGAGACCTTAATGAAAGAGAGTTTATTCTTTATTTTTGGGGACAATGTAATGTCCTGTACCGAGTTCAGATCAAACTCATTTCTGTAATTCACCTTGAGGTCATATTTAGGATGGAGATCTTGAATTATTGGAGTAAAAATATCATCAAATACTTTATAAGCTTCTTCATCAGTAGCATAAATTCCAATCTCTTCTTTTTCATCGTAAACTCCTGATTGGACTCACATTTGGATCTTTCCCCCGAGCTTAGTCATCCTTTTCGTCATTCCGCTCCACATATCTCTACTGAGATATTTGCTCAAAAGGTGTGTTCATTCATCTCCAAATTTAGGGTAGCTCATGAGAGGAATTTTTTGTGGGAGAGGTCCCTTAATGTAGATGCCACTTTCCTTTCTCTCTTTCTCAGTTAAGTAGTTCGATAAATATTTAACCATGTAAGCAATAGGCTTCTCATCTTTGACATGAATTAAGTTATTAATCATCTCCGAAACAACCTCCACAAGTTTATGCTTCTTGACATAAACATTAGCTTTAGCCTGTGCCAAGTTCAACTTCTTCCCTCCTGAATTCATTATTTCTATTAAAGGGCTCAATTAAATTCTCTTTTTACGGGGTTTTGGGGTTTTGGGGTTTTGGGGTTTTGGGGTTTTGGGGTTTTGGGG